CGAGACCAAAGCATTGTGGGAGACGTGAAGGCAGAGTTTGGTCAGTGGGGTTCAGCTGAGTTGAGTTGTGTTCCAGCCACCGTCGGGCTGTGAGGTAAGTTACTCGATACCCGCCGACAGCGACAGAAGCAGCGTGATTGACAACGCCTCTCTCCCCTTTATTTCCTCCCTCTGCTGCTTCACTTCCAATATTCCTCTCACGGCAGAGTTTAAAAGACGATTTTTATCTGCTCTCGCAGCCGCGCGGCATCTGATAAAGCGCCTTTTGAAATAAGAGCTCGAGTCATCTGCGACGGTGGAAACACTGACACGGGTTTTAGGGTTTTTATCAGGGGTTTGCCGCTGGGCCAGAATCTGCACGCTGTGGACGGAGCGTGGACACGTCTGTGCTCCACGGACACGCATGTACAAACATCCACACGCTTTCAAGAGCATCGAGGGGTTTTAAGACACAAGAGGAACAATCTGTCGTGGGGCGAAGATAAGGCCGGACAAAATAAAAATATTCTCGAAAAACTGCAAGTCATTAGTCACAGCTGGAGACACCCTCAGCTCTCCATTAGCCACCCGGTCCCCAGCAGCACCTGAAAAACAAATTAGTCTGCAAAACAATCACCCAAAAATAAAAAAAAGTTTAATATTTCACAATCAGGAAACAGAGGAAATGAGATTTTTGTAGGTGAGCGTATCCACACATCTGCACAAATGGCCACATTAGACTTGGAAATGTGAGGGTGACATTGACATAAAGATGTGGAGCAGAGACACTTTCTACATGAGGATGAGAGGGGGGAGTTCAGACGACGAGATGAAGCTCTTCAGACTGTATTTAAACGGAGATAAGTGTGGAACACCTCTGATGAAGACTCCATCGACCTTGTCAGGATTGTTCGTCTGCGCTGCTTTAGCGACGGAGGTAGATTTAGAGAGCGAGGAGGTGAAGTTTTAGAAAACGTTGAGTGGGTTTGCAGAAATAGAAGCAGAAAACTCGCCGGAGTCGGACTAGACAGCGTTTTTTTTTTACCTCTCTGGGATCAGACGAGGCGATCACAGAGACCAGAGATCGTAGACGAGCTGTCAGAGTTTCATTTTTCCGGTGAAACTTCAGTTGTCCACATGAGACGAAACCGAGCAGCTGCCGAGCCGGACGTTGGTTTCCGTCTCAAACTTGAGGCCATTATCGGGCCATTGTGCAGTTTGATCCCGACTAATCCGTCTACATTGTGGATCAGCGTCGCCTGTGATCCGAGGGATTCTGGATTATTTATGGACACGAGAACACCGAGTGCAGAGATTAGAGCACGTGATTGTTTGGCGTTGCTGAAGATGGGAGAGTTTCAGCGCCGATACCGAGACCATATTTTTGACGGAACCCGTTTTTTATGTGACAAAAGAAGCTGAAATATTAAAGCAGCGCTGCAAGAAGTTTTCCAAAATCCAAGAAAATGCTGAGGTTTGATACCGAGGCAGACGTGACGGCAGTGTTGGTGACAAGGAAAGAATCAGGGATGCTAGAAACTTTTTATGATCGTAGTTTATTTAAGTCTAAAAACCGTAGCTGCACGATGCTAATGAATTATAGCGATGTCACTGGTACATACCGGTTCACCCGAGTTACTGTTGGGACTCAAACCTCTTTTGCATCTTTTTTAAAAACCTCCTGCATGGTTTAGTCCATTATGGTCAAAAACAAACCTAAAAAATGGAGAAAAGGTTGGATTAAAGCTGGAGTAGGCAACGTTTCTCTCACTAATGCTTCAGCATATTTTTAATTTAAGCAATTTCAAAGGAAACTAGACTCATGCACCTCTGTTCTCAGGCTTTAGAGAACCTGTAGACAGGAGTTTTTAACATATTTATAGGTCTTTAACAGATGGCAAACAACTGTTTCAACTGTTAAATGAAGGACTTGTTTGTGGGTGCTGTAGGAATGCACTAGTTATGACTCTTTTAAATCAGAACCCAGAATAAGTCCAGTTCTTGATACCAATCTGAACCTTGCTGAAGCTCAGAATAGATGAAAGAATTAAAAATATAAGAATTACAACTGGAATAAATGAGGATGTGACCTGCAACGTAGATGCTTGTACGCTTGAAACAGCGACTCTATAGTAAATTATTGAATATTTTATGATATTTTTGGTCAAGTTTAAAAGTGCATTTGTCTTAATATGACATGATGTAATCTAAAGATGTGGAATTTGTAGTTTTGTATATTTAATATAATGAGAGAGAAAAAAAAGTCACGATATCTTGGTCTTTTCTTCATTAAGGCCGTATTAAATCATCTAAGTGGCCCTTTAAGGAAGCTAATTATGATAAATCTTGATAAATATTGTGATAAATGTGACATTGGACCTGACATTTTCATATTTAATGGCCTTTTTCTCTCCAGACGAGCTCTTAACGTGTAAAATTAAAGCTAACGTGTTGTTTTCCTTCTTGATGCGTCCGCAGCCTCCATCACCGACGACAAAGGAAGACGGAGCTGCCTTCGACTCAAAGTCTTCGTCAGGCCTCAGAGTGAGTTGTGTTGTGTCTGCCGCGGACACTTTTCTATTCTGTTGTGATCGGGCTGCAGTCGAAGTGACGTTCGACGTGTCTAATCTTCACATCTCCGCTTTGTTTTCCTCAGACAATTGTGTGAAAAGCTCCGGCAGCGTGCAGGAAGGAGTCGACTTCGACGACAACAGTCACAACTCCCTAGAACCCAGAGGTTGGTGGGAATAAACTCTGTGTGTGTGTGTGGGTGTGTGTGTGTGTGTGTGTGTGTGTGTGTGTGTGTGTGTGTTGGAGACTGAATAATGTGGGATCAGTGGAGATTATTCTGAATTTAAATTCCCCCATAACAGCTTCATCTGCTGGTAATGTATCCTCAATTTTCTCTTTAGATTGTGACTCATGAATCCCCATTAACGAGGAAATGCAAAAAAAAAAAAGAGTCATGACCCGTCTCTTTATTCTAGACTAGACTCAACCAGGTTTGTTGGAGGTTTTCTTTTACCCACCAGTAGGTTTGAACAGCATGTTTTCTTTAAAATGAAAATAACACAAAGAAAATGACACTATTTTTCAGCCAGAAACTGTAAAATCAGAAAGAATCCTCCACTTTCCCACAGTCCTTGAACGTATCATTTCCAACATGAGGTTCCGTCAACAAAGACAACAAAATCTAGTAATAAAATTGTGGTATTTGATTAAAAAGTCGACTTATTCTACATGTTTTATTGCAAAATGAATACTAAATAAACAGCTTGCATCAGGTCCTGCAAAAAAAAACAAAAACAAGAAAATATGGAACGAATCAGAGACTGAGAAGAATGATGTCATGATTTATGGCATTAGAACTTTTTTATTTTTACTGCACAAGACGCCACATTTTCTAGTCACGGTGGTGCTGTTTCCATAGAAGTGCAGGACTTTATATATTGCTGTTGGAAATTAGATGGTGACAGGACCAAATAAAACACTGCAGGGAGTGCAGGGGCTAATTAGCTTAGCATAAAGACTGGATGCAGGAAGTAGAAGCTCGTCTGGCCCACTGATGTACACACTATCTTCAATCTGGAAGTGAAACTGTCAGTTTAGAGCAGGACTACTTCTTGGTCGGTGACTTCCTGGAGTCTCGAATGGCTAATTGGAAAAGACTCTAAAAATGCAAGAAGATTTTTCCCCACGTTTAAGAAAATACCCGTCTTTCTGCTAAGCTAAGCTAAGCTAAGCTAGCAGTCTCTTCGGCTGTAGCCTTATCTCCAACAGAGATATCAAACTGCTGTGAGTCTTCTCTAACTCTCAGCAAGAAAGCAGATAAATATCTAACTCTGAATGTTTCCCAGTTCCTTTAAATAACTTTCATTTCGATATGTGCTCCATGTGAGTTTGGACACCAGGTCCTGGTTTTGGTGAAGCTAACGGAGGGTGTTGTGTTGCTCTTCAAGGCCCCCAGTGTTTCTGTTGATGCTCAGCTTTAGTGGCTCATTCGTCCAAAGAAATTTGCCATTTTTCAGTCGACAGCAAACCAACAGACACGTGATTAATATGTTCATTCAGTGTTAGTTACAGTCTTTCTAACTTTGTGTGATTCTTTCTTAACGGAGCTGATTTATTTTTCTCTCCTTCAGACGGCATCAGCCACGAGTCTCCGGAGCCGGCGAGGCGGGACGTGAACTCCGCCGGTCGGCGCCAGACTTCGCTCGTCCTGCTCAGCTCCGCCCTCATACTCCTGGCGGCCATCTTGTCTTTATAGCGCCCGGTCGCAGAAACCCCTCCCCCCCCTTGCCCAGGAATGGACTGTCCTGATTGGACCACAGGCCGCTCTACCCTGCAAACCCCTCCCCTCAAGGAGCACTTTTTAAAAATCAAAAAACACTGACAATCTCTCTCGGCGAGAAAAAAAGAGAGAGGAAGGGACTTCGACACCGAAGCTTTTGTTGTTTTTATTTGTTTTTGTTGTTGTTTTGTTTTTGTTTTCGACTTTGTACAATGCCTAGCGTGAATCTTGACTTTCCGGTGGGTGCCGGCGGTCGAGGCACCCCGAGGTGAAAGCGTCTCTCGCCTGTTCGCCTCGCTGCCGTTCACAGTATGCAGATATCACACCAGTCGATTTGCGTTTAGGACGAGCACACCGACATGCTTTTAAACATTTAAACACGCAAACTACACAATCAGACACTCATTAGCTCGAATGGAAGCACAGCAGGAGCCCTCAAAAGTTTACAGAGTTTTTCATTCTGTTTTTTTTTTTTCTGGCGTGCGTGTGTGTGTTCAGGACCATCGCGTAACTTCCGACATGTAACATGATTTAATCTCACTTTGGATTCTTTTTTTTTTTTTTTTTAAAAGAAGAGCGATACGGAAAACAAGGAAGGATGCTGTTGCTAGGAGACTGTTGCTAAGGGCGTGAGACAATGATGACTTAACCTTTCTCTCAGGTTAAAAAAAGAAAAAGAAAAAAAAAAGGATGCATCGTCTCAGACTGTGGAGGACCCTGGTTGAGAGAGAGAGAAAAGAAAAAAAAGAAGATTTAAAGAAGCACTCATCTTTTAGTGTTGGGATAGAAGCGATTTAATGATCGATTAATGTATTTGTTTCTTTGTTTTGTTTTGTTTTTTAAAAAATAAATCACATAATTCAATTGTAGCAGCCAACACGGGTGTACAGTAAAATATTTGAACGTTAGGAGTCGACGTGGTAAAAAAAAAAAAAAGTGTATTTTCCTATTTATTGTGAAGTCCTTGTGCTTTTTCTGTTCCGGTTTAGTCTGCAAGTACAGTAGAGAGGCAATAAAAAACACGTACCCGTTAGTTCATGTTACACGCAACAACAACAACAAAAAAACACCGTTTCTGTTTTGACTGATGGCTGAAGATGATGTTTTGCTTTTTTTTAAAAATAGTTTTTAACAAAGTCCAGGACAGAAGAAGAAGAGAAAAAAAAAAGATCAGGGTGTAGAAGTCGTAGAATATTTGTGTTTGGAATTTGTCATTAACGAATGTTCACAGATGTAGTTTTACTGTTACACTATTTGTTTTTTTGTGAATCACTGTCATAACACAACTGTTGTAAATAGAAGAGGCGAATTTCCTACAAAGTTCAGGGATGTGTCCATGCCTAACATGAGGTTTTAAAAGAAAAATACCATGTTTTATTTTTATTTTTTTTTAATCAGGGAGATTTCCTTCCTTGAATAAAAAACAAGTTTTTCGGTGGCCAAAAGATGTTTTCAGTGAGACGGTGCAGAAGCAGGTGGCGGTTAGCGCGAAGGTGCTTCGTTTGTTGCCCTCTTTGATGTCGTTTAAAGTGGCATCTGTGCAGAAAATACACCGGGGGCGCCCTCACGCCGGTTATTTCTGGAGTGAAAAATCGACCACCGCGGCAGACGGAGTAAACAGAGGGAGGTGTCCGGTTCTCTCGGGGCAAAACTGAAACTCTAGCGCTGGTGGACCTGAGCGAGATGTGAAGCTATGTAGAGCTCCTGCTGAGATCAATACTCCTCTTCTGCTTCTTCTTCTTCTCTCTTTTTTTTTTTTTACCCCTTATACAGTAGGAACATGTGGTAAACATATCTTTCCCACCTTCATGTTCACTCAGTTTAACAGAACTGTGTTTGAGCCACAGAACGACAGAGATCAGGATTAAAACTGTGATTCTGAGAGCAAAACTCACGACAGAAAACAGCAGCGGTCGCAGAACTAAACTGTAAATTTACATAAAGTCAGAGAGTTAAATGATGCTTTATGAGAAAGTCTAATTTAATTCTACAGTAAACTTTATCTGAATGACGTTCTACCAGAGGAAAGTTTAATTTAAATGAAAAAAAACTCAATATAATGATTGTAAAGTGAAACATTTACAAGAGTTAAAGAGTTAAAATCTTATGGAAAAGAGTCAGAATATTATGGAATAAATCTGTAATTTTACAGTAAATGCTATGGATTATTATACGGAAAGGTCGAAACATACTGAGATATCTGACAGAAATGTAAAAATAATAATAAAATAAATCATATGTTGTAAATTTAGAGGTTAAAATATGAAAACTATGACAAAGGTATTTCCATAATAATTATAATATTGCAATTTTTCTCTTCATATTTTTTATTTCCTTTAACATTCGCTCTAAAACTCCGGATCAGAGATGAAAAATAATCCTAATTTGCTCCCTTAAAGGGCCAGTAAAAGGATTTAATCTGGACAAAAATAAAGAAGAAAGCAGGTTTCTTCCTCCCAGCCTGGAAATGACAGATTCCACATCTTCTGATTATTTTATAAACTAAAGCTAATGTGTAAAATCTGAGGAATGCCCCTTTAAAAACTGATTTATGATCTCAGTTCACAAATATATACCTAGAATTACAACATTTGGCTTATTAGCATGAATTCATCGCTTTAAATCACTTTGCTTCTTTCGTCACTCACATGTTCTGATCTCAGAGTGAAATCTAAATAAAATTAGATTAAATCCAGGCTGAGAGTGCAGAGAGCTGGAAATTAAAAAAGTTGAGGTATTTATTATTTAAGGGAGCAAATTAGGTATTTTTCTGAATCAGTTTTGGGGCTTTTATTTTGAAAAGTGTGAAAAGGGTTTTCCTCCTTAACTTCTGCAAAAAACCATAAAAGTCCACCGTCACCGAACGCATCGCCTCCACCACGTCGAGAAAATAAAAAAAAGAAGAAACCCAATCAGTTGGTTTAGTGGATACCGTGTATCCAACAGTAACAGACAGTGTTAGAAACCTTCGTCTTTCTTTCTCACACCTCTTTTAAAGGGCGGTTTAACTGACACATTAATGTTCTTAGCAAGAAAAAACAAAAAAAAAAAAAACAGTTTGATACGAAAACAAAAAAAACAGAAATGCTGAATTTCATTTTATATGTCTTTTATACGAAACAGGAAACAGAAAAAAACACAAACCGGGATCGACCCTCATATCGAGTACGGTGGGTTTTACAATCAACACTCATTAAGGGCCTGAAGACAGAAAGGACAGACGGATCTCCAAGAGCTAGAAAATCTGTGTTCGTTTTTTATTTTCTTTATTCTTTTTAAAACTGGTCTTGTTTCCTGTACTGTTGCATCCAAAGTGTCTTGACGGTGCCGGATGTGCTCCATCTTTTGTTCACCTTTCGGCTGCAGTTAGAAATCACCGTAGGGACGATTGACTCGGTGTAAAAAGCTCCACGTGTTTGAAGAGGAAAGCCTGCATCCATTTGTGATGTCTCTGTACCGTGCTACCAGGAGCGCCGGACTACTTCTTCTTCTTCTTCTTCTTCTTCTTCACCTGATTTGCGTGTAGCCCGAAGCTAACACCAACTGTGTCCCCTGGTTTGCGAGCGTCTGTTCTCCATCCTCTGTACCCTAAAACCAGATGTGTGCTTTTGTCAGTGCAACTAGCGGTGGGAAGCTTTTTGTTAACTTTAGCCACGACTGTGTTTTGTTTTCTTCTTCTTCTTTTTGTTTTGTTGGACATGGATGTGCCACAAAAACTGCACATTTCCTTTTTAACATGGTAGTAACTGTACCTTGTGCCTATATGAGTCCCGTCCTCTCTATTCTAATGTCTGTTTCCTGCTCAATCCCTCACTAGACTTTTCTACAAAAAGGCCATTTTCTTTGTAAATACACGTGTTGGAGCAGCTATGACTAACTAAAAGAAACAAACAAAAAAAAAAGGATTTAATAAATATTTCTTTGTCGTTGTACTTGGTCGTGTCTGATTTGTTAACGGAGAGGCCGGGTACCGTCTGGGTCGGCCCGGACGATCACACGGTGCCGAGGCCGAGGGGAAGTGGGTGAACAGCTGCTTCTCTATAATCTGGAGGTAATTCGCGGGCTGAAAAAACAAAAACAGAAACAGCTTCAATTAATCTTGCGGGAATGTGCAGGGCTTCGGGCGGAGCGCTGCCAAGAACCCTCCGTCTCACACGCTCTTTTGCTCCTCGCCTCGCTCTGCCTCTCCTGCTGTCTGCCTCAATTTCTCACTTTCCGTCTTTGTCTCGGTCTTTCTTTTTTTTCTTCTTCCTCTTTCCCTCTCCGTCTCCGTGACTTTGCCACCTTTCCACCGACCCGCCGCCAGGATTCCAGGATGTCATTTCATAGCATTCAGAGCGAGTCGTCGTCTCAAACGCGATGGGATGTTTTTTTTTTTTTTTAGAGAAAGTTCAAGAACACGCCGTTCTTTGGCCGAGAACCCGCTTCATCAACGGGAGCGAAGGTGTTTCTCGGATTTCTGCCCGGGATGCTCGTGGAGCTGAACTCTCGCTTAAAGGAGCAGTTTGGGGGCACCTGGATAGCTCAGCGGGTGGCAGGGCAGGTGACCCATGTACAGGGGCTACAGTCCCCGACGCAGCGGCCCGGGTTCAATTCCACCCAACGCATGTCATTCCCCTACGTTTCTGTCATTAAAGGCGGAAAAGCCCAAAAATAAATCTTAAAAAGAAAAGGAGCAGTTCAGCCATTTGCACTTCCTCAGCAGCGGAGGCCTAATCAGAAGCAGATATAGTTGGAGACGTCCCAGAAACTCTGGATCTCCTCTACCTGAAAATCGCCCGCATCCATCAAACTCCTCATCCGCTCAGACTTGAGGCCACCTCGTGGGTCCCGCATGGCCGACTTTAAAAAGCGAAGGCACACGTGGTTCTGTTCAACGTGCAGCAGCTACCCGTCGGCCTGCTGTGCAGACGGCTGCATTGTTCCCATGGAGCGCACACAGAACGCCCACGGGGCTCCTGTGGATGCTCTGAAAGGCCGTGACTCTGCACTTTGTTACAGGTTGCAGCAGCTGCTTACAGTCGGGCTCCAGAATGCAGGAGTTGTAAAGATTTTAGGGTTTCCTTCTGTCTGTTGGCACCGTAGAGGGGAAACATGTTCAAATCAGAACACCTCTGAAGTCCAGGTGTCCAAGTACAGCTCCTCTGATGATGATGATGATGAAGGTGTGGACGGCTGAGATGCTCCTCTACAGACTCTTTATGTTACAGGCATTCAGTTTAAAACATTTGCTTTCCTTGTGCTCGTACAGACGATCTGAACGGTCTCAGATTTGGGGGATTTTCAGGAACAAGAAGAACTGATGAGTTACGAGTCTGCATTTGGAAATACAAGTAGAATGATGAGACCTGATGTGGCCGAATGTATTTCTTCTGGTTTTGTTGTTGAGAGGAAAGCTGTGACTTCACTGCAGCCAGGTGATGTTTGAAACCTTTTTCAGAAAAGCACCAGACTTTGTACATTTGTACCGTTTAGGGCACTGAATGTTTTCATAAATGGAGTCAGAACTCCCATTTGACTGGGCTGCACATGGACGTCTGCAAAGGGTTCTGCATGGACAGACTTGGATAGGAAGTTTGTGTAAACCCTTATGGACACGCCAATGGGGAAAGTAGGAACTTCTATGACGTCATCTGGTTTATTAGACCTACAGAGCTATAGAAGACGTCAGACTGTTGTTTTATAAGCAGCAGCTGATCTCTTTACGGACTGTTTACTTGAAATGGCAGAAAAACTCTACAGGTACATCAGTTAGTTTCACAAAACGAGATGATCAACCAGAATAAATCTGAGCATCTTCGACCCAAAAGCAGAAGGAACGATGTGAGTAGCAGCAGCATCAGGGTCAGTCGATTAATTTAATCACTTAGCAAGTAGCTGTGGTGGGAAACAGAACCAGTGTAATGATAGTAATAGTAATTTAATAAGAAAAACGAAGGTGAGTCAAGAGAAACCAAAACAAATTGTTCACTCCACATCTTTCTCATCTGTACTGATTGTGACTGAGCTGTGGTAAAATGTCGAATACTTCATAGGCTGCACATGAACACATACAGACGGCTGATAATTTTTTAGCAGTCAGCTCCACACGGATTCTGCATGCAGGCTTGTTAACATGTCGACACGTCGGCTGCACACGATGCCAGTAGCTGCTTCATTATCACATCTGAATGCTGTTACCTGCAGAACCCCAGCTGCCAGTCACTGCAGCTGATTGGCCTCCAGACCTTTGTTCCCCCTCCACCGTCATCCAATCAAACTGCAGCAATCAACACACCTGCGGCATAAATCCACACGATCCCGGCGGCTGTGATTTAACGTGAGCGGTTCGTCTCGTTAACTCTCGTGTCGTTATGTTTTGAGTC